TCAGCAGAAAAGCTATTTTGTAAAATGCTTTATAAGTCCATTGACTTGTTTATGAGTGGTTGATATTGGATTCAAAGGGAATGAACCAAAATGGTAGCTTTTGGTGAGTATAATGCTTGAAATTATGACTGTTATATGCCATTATAGACATTGCACATTTTTCTTTAGATCAGCTCTGATAAGAATAAACTATTTTTTCCTCCCAAATTTTAAGAAAATTAGAGAATCTAAGCAAAGTGTTTTCTATTTAGAATTAAATAAGTACTCATCTATTTTGCCACTTATTTTTTAGGAGTTATTATGAAGCCAATGATGTTACTTCAGCTATTAACATAATTGAAGAAGCTTTCTCAAAACATCAGGACCTAGTTTCCATGGAAGACATTAACATAGCAGCTGAACTGTATATTTCTAACAAGCAGTATGACAAAGCTTTGGAGGTAGGAGCACTGATGTTTCCTATTAGGTTTTGAACATGTTTTCTGTCTTCTAGAAATTCTTAAAAATTGGCATTTCCTCATTTTAGTTGTATATTAAATTATTTGCTTATTTATTTTGAGAGGTTTTTTGCCTTCGGGCTTGTGTGCTGGCTGGGCAGAGACAGAGATGGTAAGAGGGAAAGTGAGAAATCACCCCCCCAGAGAGGATGGCTGCACTGCAGTACCTTCTTTGTTTTCCTCTTGGGATCTTGGGCACACACGCACATGTGCCTGGTGTGAGTTTCAAGCCACTAGGTCTAGGACTTGAGCCATGGTTGGCTGTGTGGAAGTCCAGCGATATAACTACTATACCCTCTGTTGGCCTCAGTATATTTAAAGTCTGGGGCCTGGCAGGTGGCTTGGTTGATAAGGGTGCTAGACTCCCACGAGGCCGACTGCAGTTTGGGTCCTGGTAGCTTGCTTTCTCACTTTCCCCCTCTCTCTCTTGCTCTGTCCCTCTTTGGTCAAATTAAAATAAGTAAATAAAGTTAAATAAAATAATTCTTTAAAAAATATGAAAAAGATATAGTCTGTGTAGGAACAGTAGATTTCTAGATTCTGTTGTATTTCTGTGTGAAATATGAAATATACTTACATGATGAAAGGTAGGACTATTGTCACAGGTGACAAGCATGCCTTACTTTAGTATAGTAGGATACAACAGTCCGACTACTCTGATTCAGTTAAGCCACTGGGGAAAGTAGGTTGGTTTGCTGCAGAGGAATTATGTGTCATTAGTTACCACTAGCTAATATTATATAAAAATGAGAATGTATCCCAGTTAGGGTTTCTTATTTAAAAAAGACTTAGTGTACCTTTATATAACCTATTTTTATGTTGTAAGGATTATTTGAATGTACTGAACAAATGTTTGCATTATGAAAAAGGTTTTCATATAAAACTACTGTATTTTATTTTTGCCCCATTCTTTTAGACAATTACAGATTATTCTGGAATTGTGCTGGAAAGAACTTCAGAAGAAGGACCTTTGGAAGAGAGTACAGGTTATAGTTAACTCTGTTTAATAGATTGTATATAATTGTCTCTTGCTCATAGCGGGAAGTTTTGAATTGATAGTTAATGTTTTCATAATTGGTTTTCCCAAGAAGCATTTTTTTCCTCAGACTTCATATCTTTTTTTTTTGTATCAAGTTACAAAGGTCATTAAAAAGATATTTTAAGTTCCTTTTTTCCTTTTAATTGTCAGAGAGCATGTGCACTCAGCAAAGAGAGAGATGGGGAAATGGAGAGAGAGAGAAAGCATCCCACAATGGGGCATGGTCACACTGAAATCTTCATTTCTTCACCATGTTGATATTTTAGGCACTTAACTCACATGGCATGTTTTTCAGGCCTCCGAGGTCGGAATTTGAACTGCAGTCAGTCATGTGGGATCTAGCTCCGTTAACCACTAGGCCATAGAGATGGCTCTCCTTTTATTCTCATTTTGTCCATTTGAACATGACATTTCTCATTGACCTAAGATCTTTTTTGTTCATTCTTATAGGAAAAAAGGATGAATTATTGAACAGCTTTAGCTCTATAAAAATTAATGTTTCAAAAAGGGCTTAAAATGTTCTCATTGATAAAAAGAATTCTATTTCAAACTAAGCACTCACATAAAAGTAGGAACTAATATGATTACTCTTCATTGTTTGAAAACTTAAAATGTGTAATTGGATATCTGGTTAGAAAGTCATACCTAAGGTGTGGCTCCAAGTGTCTCTTTCAGCTTTATCTTACGCCAGCTCTTTTCTTTGTAACACACCCATTAACCTGTTCTGAAAATAATATCAACTACCCAAACTGTTGCAAAGTGAACACCTAGCACACAGTTTACACTAAACCTTTTCAACTCAGCCCTGTCTACCTAGTATTCTGTGGTATATCATCTGCTAGCAAAGATCAGTCTCTTTTTCTTCCTTCAGTCGGCTTCAACGTAGTCCTCTGGTTGTGGCTGCTCTTTTGCAATAGCTACTGATTACAATGCTGGGCTGGAAAAGTTCAGGTTATTTTATGGTACAAATTCTTTCATATAGCTTCTCTAATCCTCTCTGCCCAGCAGAACTGTTTATGGAGCCAGGCCATCTTTTCAAGAGCTTCTGTTGACTTACTTGAGATCTACCTTAGTTCCATAGTTTTCTGGTTTAATCTTCAGATATGACATTCTAGTCAAAGCCCTGTCCAGTTTCTGATTCAAGACAACAGGTATTACTGAACTTATGCAAATAATCATTCTGCCAAAAATAAGAATACTCCCAAATATTTTCCAATTTCAGAGAGGTCAGGAAGAGAGAAAAGTTTATGTTTCCATTTAAAGAAAAAAAAAAAAAAACAAGAAAAAACATTTTAACAAATGACTGAACCTGTCAATAGCTCAAAAGAAAGCAAAATCCTTAAATTGGGAAAACAAAGCATAATAAAAAAATAATCAGTACTGTTTTAGTCAAAAGTCATAAAATTCTGTTTTACCAGTTCAGTCTTACATAATTAATCTATCTTCTGCAGTGTTACTGTGATCTAATCTTTCGTTTAAATTCTGGAAGTTAAAATTCAACATTATTATTGATATTTCTTGTCCTTAGCATTAAGTTGCTCATTTTCTTGGTTGCTTTTTTTTTAGGAGAGATTTTTGCTATAGGGTGCGTGCGCTCGCCAGAGAGACAGAGAGATAGAAAGCGAGAAGTCACCCCCCAGGGGGGATGGCCATGCCACAATCCCTTCTTTTCCATTCTCCTCTCGGAATCTTGGGCACGCACACACATGTGCCTGGTGCGAGTTTAAGCCACTGGGTCCGGGATGCGAACCGTGGTCGACTACATGGGAATCCAGCGACATAGCCATTACACTAAACTGCTGGTCCCTCTTGGTTGCTTTTGTTCTCTTGTTTCTGTATGTGTGTTTTTAGTTTTCCTGATACAGCACTCCTTTCAGAACTTCCTTGAAGAGCTGGTCTGGTGTTGGTAAATACTTTTAGGTTTTGTTTATCTGAGAATGTTTTTTATCTTTTCTTCCCGTAGAAGGACAGTCTTGCTGGGTATAGTATTCTTGGTTGAATCTGTTTTTTGCTTAACACTTTGACTATATTTTCCCATTCTTTTCTTGCTTGCATTGTTTCTGATAAGGTCTGGTGATAGCCTGATGGGATAACCTTTATATGTAACCTGGTGTTTCTCTCTTGTCAAATTTTAATATCTTGTCTTTATCTGTGATTTTGGCCAGTCTGGCTATGATGTGCCTTGGAGAAGAGCTTCTTGGGTTGATTCTATTTGGGGTCCTTTGTATTTCTTAGGTCCAGATATTTGCCTCTCTAGATATGGAAAATTTTTTTTCCAGGATTTCATGGAATAGATTATCAATGCCCTTATTAATTTCTTCACCTTCTGGGATACTGATGATCCAGATGTTTGGGTGCTTAATGGTATCTCTTATAGTATCTCTTATAGTATTTTTCTTATAGTATCTCTTTTTTGGGGGGATTATTTTCTCATGTTTTTGGTTATTTTTTCTAGGCCAGAGGTTTTGTCTTTCAGGTTTTGTCTTTAACATCTGAGGTTTGATCTTCTGCATGGACTAATCTGCTTTTAATACTTTTGAGGGAGGTTTTGATTTCCTGTATTATAGCCTTCATCTCTAACATTTCCATTTGATTCTTTTTTATGTTGTGTATTTCCTCTTTAAGATTGTGTAGAACTTCCTTGCCTCCTGGAACTCATTGTCTCTTTTCTCCTGCATCTTCTGGAGTTCATTGTCTCTCAGTTCTTTCATCTCATTTAGTTTTGTCACTATGAATATCCTGAATTCTCTATTGGACATTTCCATGAGTTCCACTCTACTGTCTGTGAATGATGAAGGATTATTCTTTTCCCTTAGGAGAGAAAAGTTTTTTGGTTTCTCATATTTCTTGTACCTTTATGGTGGTTTCTGGTTATTCCGTGACAAAATCTCTTTTCTACTGTGTTTTGCAGTGTGGTATCCACAGAAAGATTTTGAGTTCGGATTTATAAAAAGGAGTTTATTCCTTAAGGCAGGAAGTTCAATAAGAATTGAGGATTTTAGTGACCCTAAAAGTATTCAGATGCTTAGCTGCTGTGTACCTAAGCCTGTCTAGACAATCAGTATGTGGAGACTGAGGAGCAGAGTAGGAAAGTAAGGTTAAAAAAAAAAAATTAAATAAATAAAAGCCAAAGGGGGGGGGGGGGACAAACAAACAAAAAAACTAGATTAAAAGCAACCAAAAAAGATAAAAAAAATTTAAAGGTAAAAAAATGAAAATCAGGACACACCTCAGATTTAAAATGGCTTCTGAAATTAGCAAGAGAAAGAAAAGGCCCAAGGTTAAAAGAAGTGTTTTAAAAAGTAAAATTTAGAGAGAGATAGATAAACAGACAAGAGACAGAGAGAGAACAGAGGTTTCTCTACTTGTCTTAGTGTTTTAGGGATCTAGAAGATAGGGTTTAGAGAATAGCTTCCAGCACCTTGGTCCCTGAACACACCAGGACACACATCAGATTTAAAATAACTTCTGTCTCAGTGTTTCGGGGGTCTTGGTGAAATATTTTTTAACTGATTTCCAGGGCTTTAAAGCTGTTTAGGGGGACCAGCAGATGATGTAATGGTTACTTCGCTGGACTCCATGTAGATGACTGCTGTTCCAAGTTCCAGACCCAGTGGCTTAAAACTCACGCCGGGTGCACGTGCATGCATGCCCAAAAGGAGACCGGAGGAGAAGGGATTGCTGTGTGGCCATCCCTCCGGGGAATGATTTTTCACTTTCTGTTTCTCAGTCTCTTTCCGGGTCTGTCTGTCTCTTCTGTGAGTGCTTATGCCCCTTAGCAAAAACTTTTTTTAAAACAAAAAGCCATTTAGATAAAAAACACAGTAATGGGCCAGCTATAGCATTACGGTTAAGGTGGCTAGATCCCACATGGCCGATTCAAGTCCTGGACCTGGTGACTTGAAAAACATGCCAGGTGCAAGTGATCATGTGCCCAAAATCCTGAAGAGAAGGGATTGCAGCATGGCCATCATCCTGGAGAGTGCTTTTTCACTTTCTCTCTCTCTCTCGCTTTCTGGTGAACACAGTGCCTATATAGCAGATTAAAAAACATCAGCAACTTCAGAAGCACAGTTTTATGTTATCATTTTCTTAACTCTTTGTAGTAAAGTCTAGAAAGAGGCTTTTGAATTCTAAAAGAAAAAAGATTTATACATCCTGGACATTTTTGTCTTTTTAGTTCTCTACAGTTCTAGCAAGTTTGGGAGTTTATATATGTTTTGGATAAATAGATAAGGTATTAAGAAAAGAATAGGAAGGATCGTTGCTACCAAAGGGCAGACTGAAGGATGTATAAGATCCCAGTAACAGAATTGGCCAAGCAGAATTGACTGAATGAAGTGAGTCTTACCTAGCAGATACAGTTTGCTTCACTTGCCCCACATTCTTAGCTTGCACGTAGGAACTGCTGCTTGTCTCTCTGTTCCACAGCTGGCCGTGTTACCTGCTCCATACCCGAGGGTGTACCAATAGATATCATGGTGAAGTTGATGGTCTGCCTGGTACATCTCAACATCCTTGAACCACTTAATGTAAGTATCACTAAGATTTGCACTTGAGGTGTTTCAGATCCACAATTTGTTCTCTTTAGATGGCAAGAAATTGTAACTTGTCCCAAGATTTTCACATTTTTTAATAGCCAAGGAAGTCACAATAAATATCAAATTTATTTCCATGAAATATCTTTTAAAACATAAAGTGTTTTGAAATTGGATTCGTAATAATTTGATTTTCTTTGAAAATGGGTACAACTAGAGATTAGAATTTGAGATTGAGTCTTAGGACACTTAGTAATAATTTGGACAGCTGTTCTCTTTTTATGAATTTGGACCAAGTGTTTCATTGAAATAAAAAAAGTATTGGGCATCTTCTTTGGGAGATCTTACAATAAGATAGTGAGTAAAATATACTATTCCCTACCCTCATGGATCCTTTGTTCTAATGAGATTAGATAGACAAATACATAGGATATTGATTGGTATTATGTATTTTGGAGAAATACAGGAAGAAAAATAGGGAATATTGGGGGTTGAGAGTCTTTCCGTTTTCAATACAGAAAGGTCTTCCTGATAAGGTCTTAAAGTCTTCCGTAATGACGTGAATGAAGTGAGGAAGTAAACCTTGGGAATATACAGGATATCAGCTTTTTTTTTTTTGGAGAGGTTTTCGCTATAGGGCACGTGCACTCGCCAGACAGACAGAGAGAGACATAGAGACAGAAAGCGAGAAATCACCCCCCAGGGGGAATGGTCACGCCGCAATCCCTTCTCCTCCATTCTCCTCTTGGGATCCTGGGCATGCACGCACACGTGCCTGGCGTGAGTTTTAAGCCACCAGGTCCGGGACGCGAACCACAGTCGACTACGTGGGAGTCCAGCAACATAGCCATTACGTCAACTGCTGGTTCCCCAGGATAACAGCTTTTGAAGAACAGCCACATAGAGGTCCTGAGGCTTGGGTATGTAGTTGGAAGAAGAGCATAAGAGTCAGTGTTGTCTTAGTTCCTGAAAGGCCTACCTTTTCACAAGTCCATAAAATGTGCTGACTGAGTGAATGTTGGAAGTATGAATTCTTTTTAATAGATATACAGAATTGAATAGAAAAATGATAATGTAAAGCTGCTTTTTGTTAAGCCTTGCTCCTTTTTGTCTGCATAAAACTGATATGTACATTATATACATAGATGTGCATATTTGTAATGAATATTTGACTTCAGGCTTTTATTTGGGGTCTAGCCTCTCTTGACAACGCTGGTGGAACAGAATCCCGAAGATATGGGAGACCTCTATCTAGATGTTGCTGAAGCTTTTCTGGATGTTGGTGAATATAATTCTGCACTTCCCCTCCTCAGTGCACTCGTTTGCTCTGAGAGATACAACCTTGCAGTAGTTTGGCTTCGGCATGCAGGTAATGCTTTTTTTGTGGGATGGAGAAGTTTTAGTCATATAATCAGGCAAGAATTTACTTTTCTTGGTTGAAGTATTTCTGGTTTAGGGCAGCTTTTTGAAAGTCACTATTTTAAATTGTCTTGCCAGAACGTTGAGTGATTTTCCTTTCACTGATGTTTTGAAGAAATAGTTCAGTTAAAGGTTCTTTTTTACTTGCCTGCTCTGGTTTCTAGTAATAACTTGTCAGACTTGGAGTGATATCTAATTTTTTGAAGAGTTTTTACATATTTATATGTAGAATGTTATTTTGGGAGAAAATAATGTACAATAATGTCAGTGTTTTATACCAAATATGTGCTCAAGATTGGATTTCATAGGGTTTTTTTATTGCACTATGCCTAAATCCATAGTAATATGAAACAAATCATTTAAAGTAGAAATATAGCTTATGAAGCACACTAAATCTTAAAAGAAATATGTGAAAGCAAAAAAATATTCCGGTACGATTTCCTATTGAGCCAGCATAAAAGATGTATTAAAAATAGAATCACTGGGACCAGTAGCTGGCATGGTGCTTAAGGTTCTGGACTCTCACATTGCTGACTGTGGTTTGAGTCCCAGACCTGACAACTTGCTTTCTCACTTTTTCTCTCTCTTCCTCTCTGGTGAGCACACGTGCCCTATAGTAAATTAAATAATAATAATAATAATAATAAATTAATTTTTAAAATAGATTTTTGTTATAAGGCATATGTGCTTGCCAGAGAGACAGAAGATGAGAAATCACCCCCCGGGGGTTGCCACACTGCAGTCCCTTCTCTATTCTCCTCTCAGTACCTTGGGCACAAATGTACATGTGCCTGTCCTAAGTTTTAAGCCACCATATCAGGGACTTCAGCTGTGGTCAACTACACGAATGTCCAGGTACAAAACCGTTATGCCATCTTCTGGTCCCAATAAATAGTTCTTTTTTTTTAAAAAAAAAAATCTATTTTACATGGGAGTCCAGTGACATAGCCATTATGCCAACTGCTGGTCCCAATAAATAATTCTTTTTTTTTTTTTTTTAAGAATTATTTATTTATTTTTAAAATACTTATTTATTGAGAGAGATTTTTGTTAAAGGGTGTGTGCACTCGCTGGAGAGACAGAGAGACAGTGAGAAATCACCTCCTGGGGGATTGGCCATGCCACAGTCCTCCATGTTTTTGGGATCTTGGACATGCACACACATGTGCCTGGTGTGTTTTAAGTTGTCGGGTCCGGGACTTGAACTGCGGTCAGCTACATGGGAGTTCAGTGACATAACCATTATGCCATCTGCTGGTCCCATTTTATTTAGTAGTAGTATTATTTTTAAATTATTTTATTTATTTACTTATTTTTTTGGAGAGGTTTTTGCTATAGGGCATGTGCACTCACCAGAAAGAAAGAGACGGAAAGTGAGAAATCACCCCCTGGGGGGATGGCCAGCCACATTCCCTTCTCCATTTTCTTCTAGTGATCTTGGGTTACTCACGCACAAACACCCAGCATGAGTTTTAAGCCACTAGGTCCGAGAGTCAAACTGCGGTCGACTACGTTGGAGTTCATTGACATAGCCATTACGCCAACTGCTGGTCCCAGTATTATTATTATTTTTTTATTTGACCTGAGAGAGAGAGAAGATGAGGAAGTAAACTCCAGGTCCAGGAGTTGAATCGTGATTGACCTTTTGGGAGTCCATTGCCTTAATCACCAACCTACTTGCGCACTCTAAATAAATTGTTACTTAAAAAAAAAATGGAATTATTCTTTGCCAGGCTCGTGGCCTAATGGTTAAGGTAGTTGTTGGAAACCACAGGCAGTTTGGGTCCTGATCTTGGCAGCTTGAAAAACATGCAGGCAGTTATATATGCCTGAAATCCCCACAGGATGGAGGAATGGAGAAAAGGTATTGAGGTGTGACTTTTTTCTCTCCTCTCCCTTTTTCTCGCTGTTTCTTTGGTGAGTGTACATGCCCTCTGGCAACTTAAAAGAATGTAATAGTCTTGCTTTAAAATATTGGGGCTGGGACCAGCAGGTGGCATGGTGGTTAAGGCGCTGTACTACCACATGGCCTACCAGGGTTCGAGTCCTGAATCTGGTGGCTTGCTTTCTCACTTCCTCTTTCTCTCACTCTCAACCTCTGTCTCTCTCTGGTCAAATTAAAAAAATAAATGAATGAATAAATAAAATAAATAATTTTTTAAAATTGTGAACTTTAAATAATAAAATATTGGGGCTAGCAGAGGGTGTAGCATTCACATCACTAGACTCTCACATGGCCAGCAATGGTTCGAGTCCTGTACCCGATGACTTAAAAATAAAAGTAAAAGATCTTTTAAATAAAATATTGAGGAAGTCATAGCTCTTAAAATATAACATGATAGAAGAAGTTTTCTGTATCTAGAGAAGTACTGTTGACATTTTGGGACAGTAGGTCACTCATATCATAAAAATGAACTAGGAAAGAACTCTTAAACTTTCCAGTTTAGATAAGTGACATGGGGAACCAGCAGTTAGCGTAATGGCTATGTCGCTGGACTCCCACGTAGTCGACCGCGGTTCATGTCCCGGACCCGGTGGCTTAGAACTCAC